GTTTTACATTATGGCATGGAGGATCATCTGTGTCAGTGTATTGGAAGTACACGACACAGAAGGTTGTGGATAGACATGACTACTAACGCCACACGGCATGGACTTTAAGAAGAAGATCATCTCGTCGCCTTCCTTCGATAACAGATGACGCAATGAGAACCTCACTGTGGTTTAATAATTTGTGTGTGTGAGTGTGTATTTGGTTTTTTTGTGAATACCTGAGTGCTGAAAATCTGCATGTGTTTCATATTAGGTTTCTTTCCTAGTTTTATATGTTGCCATGAAGTGATTTATGGCCAACTCCTTATAATTTTCAAACATCATCGCATTTTGAACTTATTTAACTTTCATACTGGGTCTTCTCATTCATGTACAGTAAACAAGGTCCCTTTGTACGTCAGCAGCCGATCAGGTCTGTGGGACTAGACTCATATTTCTTATAGAACACAATGGGTGATGGTGTTCAACACCATGCCAACCGCCTTTACTTCCAAATACTTTACCTAGTACCCATTTAAAGCTGGGTCGACCTGACAGTCAAGGTCATGAATGAAAAAAAAATCCGGACCCACACGCCCACGACTTTCACTACAATGTATATGAAATCAGTTATCTAACCCAGCAGGTAAACGAATGAAACCAATGAACTTTTCTTTAAAGGATCATGAATTGGGCACTCAGGCCCGTGTTACACTCGGCCCCTCCAAACACTCATCTTTCAGAGGGCAGTATTTTAGCAATAAATCATATTATGTTCATATAACAAAATTTATAATACACCATAGCGAGAAGAAATCAGGCCATGCCTAAAAGCCGTGGGTTGCCATAAATAGAAGTAAAGGTTCCTGTCTCTACGCCTTCGGGTGTAAAGAGCTAGAACTATATTGTATACACCAATTAGCACTAGGTGGGTAACTTGATCAGCATCACGCCGGCCACCTTTACTTCCCAGGACTGCACCTAGTACCCCCTCAAGGCTGGGTCGACCTGGGATCCAAAGTAATTTTTGACAAAAGTCCGGTACCGCGCAGACCCGAACCCACGACCTTCGGATCCGTAGTCGAGCGTCTAGCCGCTGCACCACGGCGGGTCCGTTGTGATAAACAGTCCAGCAGTTATTTTTGACGTACTGTGGCGGAATGGTTTGTTTTTGGATTAGAAGTAGGCTACTTATTTCTGATTTGCTTAGACTAGCAGTCCTCCCAAGGTCCCCATGGAACCACACAACAAAATAAAAAACAGGCTTTTTAAAGGGTAAATGAAAACATCGAAAATAAATTTTTCAGTATAATATAAATCAAAATTGTGTTTACTTACGACATATTTAATATAATAATCAAAATTATAATTCATTAACCAGCCTCACGCCACTGAATTTGTTCAACCAACTAACCTCTGTGTAGGAAACGATTACATGTACCTGTTTTTAATAGCTCATCACTGTTCGAACGTAACTTGTGGCATAGACCCTACTCTTCTGATAACTCGTAACTCGTGCCATTTTATTTTGGTTGCCTTATTTGTCCACAATCTTCTGTCTTGTGTAATGTCCGGCATTTTTAATAATGATGTTCTTCTATGTCGTATTGCAAAAATGCTCAACTTTCTCTCCCCCCCCCCTTTTTTTTTCCCGTCTGTCTCTCTGTGTGTGTATCTCTCTCTCTCTCTCTCTCTCTCTCTCTCTCTCTCTCTCTCTCTCTCTCTCTCTCTCTCTCTCTCTCTGCGTCTCTCCACATCTATTCTATTTAGTTTTCCAGTTGTTACGACATACACCAATTTTCATCTTGTCATGCGGTGCCCCAGGAGTGTATCTTCATCGTCACTGTCCTGTGGTGCCAGTCTGTGTAACATAGCACTCACAGTCAATTCTCCCACCTTTGTAATCCTTTCGATATCACAGACGGAATCCAGTCCAGTAGCCTTAGCCTCTCTCACTAACGTTCGTTTTAGGGTTTATGTTTGATGCCCTCGCTTCCTGAATCCCCTTTTCACATTTCAGTGCCTGTTTTGTGATTTTCTGCTGGTTTGTTCTCAGGATGTGTCCAGTATGGCGACATCTTCGTTGCCTTATAACCGTTGTGTTACTAGTGACTGCTCCAACATTTCTCTTATATCTTTACCTCTCTCACATTCATCGCATTTTATGTCCAACTTTTTCTTCATTCGTTTGTTTTCAAACGCATGTAACTATCGTTCCAAAGAATCTGTACTGGCCCTGAGGGTAATTAGCTCTCTTTGTTTTGAAGGCATCTTTATTAGTTTTATATCCATCTATAGTATTGTGATCATTTGTCTATAAACACCACATCTATGCAGCTTTCTCGCGTCTGCTCGTGGTCCGTGGTTCACATGATTCCATCAGGAATGGTTCTGAACTGCTTTATAGAAATCCTTCATTTGGCAAACATATATTGCACAGAATATTCTCCATCTCGTAAAATGCTGCGCTTACCTGGTCTCTTTAATATATTAGTTCTTTAAAATTGTTCATCTTTCCTTTGATGTTTTAGGTTACTTAAGTACTTTAAAATATGTGTCTGCATATAAGATAACATATGTAAGGAAACAAGCATATATCGATTAAATGTATCGTGTATATTTACACAAATATAACTAAGCAGAAACATTCTATATAAACAGCAACTCATACAGACTGGTGCATATGATAGCTACTGCCATGTTAGTTTCGTATAATGTCATTTGCTGAAACAGAGGAAACAAATACAAATCAAATATATACATCAAATAAACTACTGTTTACAAATACATTGTTAACGGGTTGCTTGTTGTACAGCATAGTAAAAATCATTATAATCAGTTGTCAATAAAGTACTATTTAAAATCATAGGTGCTTGAACATGTGGGCTCAGACAATTGCTCCCCCCCCCCTCCCCGCCCTTCCCTCCATTAATGTTAAAGGTGGCGGAGAACTCAAAGGGCTTCCGCCTTGCTTTAATAATAATACTTATTATTACCGCGCTATACAAAATACTTAAGGACCCCGCCAGTAGAAAATTATAGAGTGGGGGGGGGGGGAGCCGGGGGTTACCTATTTTCCTAGACTCCATGTTAAATTTTCTGTGGTCACGCACCTGTAGAATTTTTACTGAAATGCTTTTAAGATGTTGTTTTTTCCTCTGGCGTTTTAATGTAAGGTATATGCGAAAGTCATAGAGCGTCCAGACTAAGACCGAACAAACTACTATAAAGAATGGTAACAAAGAACAATATGACGTCGCTAATGCTCCTGGTGAGGGAACTCATTTAACACGAATGTTTAATTATGTACAGAAAATATGCGCAAATTCCGTTCTTCTTTCGTTTCGTTGGTCAGCCTTCTCTATTTATACCAGTTTCCGAGGAACTCCTTTCAAAATGTGACGTCATTAAGTTGTTTGGCACTATTAGAGACGGAGTTGGTCGCTAGTAGCACTTCCGTCAAGGCAAACGGATCACCCCATAATTGTTCCGTGTTCTGCAGATTCTACGGGCTTCCATCGAGTTTTAACATCTAAGGTTGTTTCATGTAGCTAGAGGAGTAAACCTTCCTTATTAAATTTGTTTGGTAGAATCTTGTAGTAAATGTTCTGTGGTTTAAGCTGCGTGGCCAAATGTAAGATCGCTGTAGAGCCAATCATTAGTTTTGTGCGCACGTTACTTTTAAATATGTGTGCTTTTTCTGGGTCTAAAGAAAGTCATACCTCTGGTTCTGTAAAGATATATGAGACTTACTGTTGGAGGATAGTTGTCTCTAAAACAAAGGCAGACATATGAGACTTACTGTTGAAGGATAGTTGTCTCTAAATCAAAGGCAGACTTCTGAGACTTTCTGTTGAAGGATAGTTGTCTCTAAAACAAAGGCAGACATATAAGTCTTACTGTTTAAAGATAGGTAATGTTTCTGAGATACTAGAGACCCAGTTTGAAATCATATAATTTCAGTAGAAATTTAATTATATGTCCGTCTTGCTTTTTCTGCGAGCAACGAGTGTCAGCCAAATTCCCTCGTCGCTTCCCGTTATGCCATTCTCAAGCGGAACAACTGATCTCTCACAGCTTAAGATAATGGATGTGTCTGCCAAAGTTTCCATCAAAATCACTACAATCATATTTTTATCTATAGTTTGACAATTCACATATTATGTCACACAAACACACACACACACAAAACCATTTGCAGCGAGTATCGATCCATGTGTTATAATAATCTTCTGAAACTTCAAGTGGAAAATTCTGGTTATTCATCTAATTCCTGACATTGGTCTTATTCCAGAATTTGAGTTTTGCGTGCATATCCGTTTTACTCACATCTGATTAGTCAGCTGTTCGACATGCTTATTAGGTAGGCAGTGGGTCTGTCCCCCCCCCTCCCGCCCTCCCGCCCTCACCAAAAACATGGCCCTGGAACCCACACGGGGAATCATACAGATCAAGTAGTTAAAACATTTTGTTCTAACCCATGTTTATTAACGATGATTGATGTAATGATAAATTTTAACCTGGCATGCAACATTTCTCGTCATTTCCTTATAAACTGCTGCAAACAACAACAACAACAACAAAAAAACCGCATAGCTACTGAAAGGAACACACCGACTCACAATTTTGACATTCTGTATCTTTGTAATGCCATTAGTGAAAATTACTCAAATTTCACACAAGAATAACTTAGGATTCCACCAATCAATTTAAAAATTTTTTTTTTAAATCTGGGTCACGATAATTTGTAGGTGTACGGCCTTTCCTGTCAGTATGATATGTGGCCTCCTCTTGCGTGGATCAGTGACTGACATCTCATGGGCATGGATGCGGTCTGATGTGGGCCTGTTGGATGGCTGCCCAACTCTTCCTGGAGTGCCCGGAGCAGATGACGACCATTGGCTGGAGCAACGTCTCAGAGACAGACACGTCTTTGCAGCTCATCCCACAGGTGCTCAGTCGGAAATATGCATTTTTTTAAAGTATATATCTTACAATATTCAAGCATGAATAACTCTTACCTTCATAAAATGTAATTCTCTTCATGTCACACAAACCGCCCTGCAGAATATCAAGGCACGTATATACAATGTGAAACAAACGCCACACAACACACACTAATAGTATGTCTATGTAGATGTAGAGAAAATTAATCAAACACTACAGAGGTCACATTATTTAGTCGTGTATGGAAATTGTATGAAATGAAACACTATAACGGTCTGAGGTTAACTATATCACCCTTTCGACATATGTTGTTCAAGGTTCACAGTATCAAATGATGTATGTGCTCACTGGTCGTGTGCTTCTTACTGGAGAAACCTTACATTGGCAAGCCATATATGTGTACCTAAAACTCGTGATTCACACAGCGTATAATATTCGATGCATCCCGCATGTAAACCTCAACTGTGACAGCAGACTAAAAGTGAGAAAATGTTATTCATATCCTTTATTATACTATAGGGTCGGCGTCTGTCGCTTAAGCGTTGCGAACGCGTTTTGTAACGCCGGGGTGCCGGGTTCGATTCCAGCTGCAGGCCTTGCGCATTGCGTTGGTTTCGACATTGGCATCGAGAAGCCAACCGTCCAGAAAGCAATGGCAAACTACTAGACGTAAATTTGCCTAGAAAAACCACAACAACCACACACAAAAATGCTCGGGTAGGTTCTGCAATGTCCTGTAAAGAATACGTAACTAACTTTTTTTTTAAACTAACTATATTTTAGAGAATAAAGCATAAATATGGACAGTAACTAGGGTGAAAATTTAGGCTTTACGAATATACTGAGATCATCAACAAGAATGAAAAAAGAAGAAACTAAATCTTACAAGAAATGTCCGGCTACGGTGTGGGTAATGTCCGCCTACGGTCTGAGTAATGTCCGGCTACGGTCTGCGTTATGTCCGGCTACGGTCTGCATAATGTAAGGCTATGGTCTGAGTAATGTCCGGCTACGGTCTGCGAAATGTCCGGCTACGATCTGCTAATATCCTATTACGGTTTGGGTAATGTCCGGCTACGCCTGTGTAATCTCCGGCAACGGTCTGGGAAATGTCCGGCTATGGTCTGGGTAATGTCCGACTACGGTCTGAGTAATGTCCGGCTACGATCTGAGTAATGTCCGGCTATGATCTGGGTAATGTCTGGCTACGGTCAGGGTAATGTCCGACTACGGTCTGAGTAATTTCCGGCTACGGTCTGGGTAATGTCCGGTTGCGGTCTGGGTAATGTCCGACTATGGTCTGAGTAATGTCCGGCTACGATCTGAGTAATGTCCGACTACGGTCTGAGTAATGTCCGGTTATGGTCTGGGTAATGTCCGGCTACGGTCTGGGTAATGTCCAGCCACGGTCTGAGTAAGGAAAGTTTTTTTTTTAAAGACATACAAGTTCAAAGTTAGTGTAATTTTTGTGTGTCATTCAAGCATTAAAAAATTATCAAATTACAACTCTCCTCTTAGGTATTTAGGTAAATTTAAGTTTACTGTTAAATGGTGGTTTTCCCCTGTGTCTGACAATCAGACATATGAGACTTACCTTTTATGGGTAGTTGTCTCTGAAACCAAGTCAGACATATGAGACAGACATTTGAGATTTACATTTAAGGGGAGCATTGCCTTTAAATTCACAGAATTCAAGGCTTACTGTAGTTGTCTCCTAAACAAAGACAAATGAGAATTACGGTTGAACGATAGTTAATGTTTGTGAGATATTAGAGACAGACATGTAAAACTTTATGTTGAATGGTAGTTATTTCTGAGACAGGCATGCGAGAGTGACCTTTGAAGAATAGTTGCTTTACAGACAGACAGACAAATAAGACTTCCTGTCGAAAGACACTTAAAAATTGTAAAGTACTAGAGACAGACGTGTAAGACTTACTGCTGAAAGATTGCTATCTTTGAAACAAAGGCAGACATATGCGACTTACTGTTAAAGGATAGCTGTGTCTGAGACAAAACAGAATGTAAGACTTAATTTTTAAAAGACGGTTGTTACTGAGACAGAGTGTAAGACTTACTGTTAAAGGACAGTTGTATCTGAGTAAAGAATAATGTAAGACTTACTGTTGAAGGACAGTCATATCTGAGACAAAAAGAATATAAGACGTAACGATGAAGGAGAGATATCTGAGACAAGAAGAATAAAAGACTTACTGTTGAAGAACAGTTGTATCTGAGACAAGAAGAATGTAAGACTTACTGTTAAAGGACAGTTATATCTGAGACAAACAGAATGTAAGACTTACTGTAGAAAGACAGTTATATCTGAGAAAAACAGAATGTAAAACCTACTGTTGAAGGACATTTGTATCTGAAACAAACAAAATACAAGACTTACTGTTGAAAAACTAAATATTAGTCAGCCAACTGGATCAATCAAAAATGGTCAAGGAAAAGTAATTACTAACACTAAAGATCGAATGGACAGATGGGTGGAATATTTTGAAATGCTTCTAAATAGACCAGGCCCAGAGGTTCCCCCAGATATCCAGCCTTTAGAAATGGACTGGATATCAACTGTGAGATACTGTAATGGGGGATATTTTCACCCAGATTAGGATGGTTGGGGGGAAGGCCCAAAGCTGACCTAAAACACCGAGATATTCCAGATACTCGGATTAAACGAGAATCTTGAGATAGATGACCACTAGTTATCACGGGTACCACGATAATGCGACCAAAGGCCGCCACGTGAAGTAAAGGACCACCACGTGTTGCAACGTGAAACTAACCCGTGGTATAGGTCAGACTTGATTCTGGTCAAGTTTAGTTTGTGTCGACCTGTTGGGGCGAGAGGATGTGAGACTGAGTGGAAGAATGTCAACGTAAGAGTGATTGTTGAGAAAGGAGACCCTGACGACAAAGTGTGAAGCCAAGATCGACCATGCCAGTCTGTGAAATGGCCAGAACCTCAACTTGATTCATGGGAGCCGACTCTGGTCAGGGAATGCATGAAGAACCTGCATGTTGAAGGCTGCGTGAATTGGTGTGCGAGAGCTGTTTACTAGGACAACGACAGGACTCTTCTGTAAGTTATTACATGCCAATAAACTTATGTTCGTACGGCAACGTCGGTGTCGTCTCGTACCAGTTTTGTAACGTAGAGTGTGTGAGAAGAACATCCACTACACACACATGAACACCACCTAAACAACGAGAGGATATGAACACCACTTATTGCAGATACAATCCAAAGAGGAAATTAGGAAAGCTATCAATCTTCTCAAGGAAGGAAAGGCGGCAGGCCCAGATGGTATCCCAGCTGAAGCCATCAGGGCCAACATAAACACATCAACAGAATTGCTACATTGATTATTCAGAAAAGTCTGGGAGACCGAAGAAATACCAGCAGACTGGAGAGAAGGATATCTTGTGAAACTGCTCAAAAAAGGTGATCTACAGGAGTGTAAAAACTATAGAGGAATTATGTTGCTGTCAGTTCCTGGAAAAATATTGAGTAGAATTATTTTGGAAAGATTAAAAGATGCTATTGATAAAAAGCTAAGAGATGAACAGGCAGATTTTCGGTCAAACAGATCCTGTACTGACCTGATGGCCACATTACAATAGAGCAAAGCATTGAACTGAACTCACCACTTTACATTGGATTTATAGACTATGAAAAAGCATTTGACAACATTGATAGGGAATCTCTCTGGAAATTGATTGGACACTATGGAATAACACATAAACTTATCAACTTAGTAAAGGCAACATATAAAGACATGAAATGTCGAGTTCTTCATGAGGGAAAGCTAACAGATGCATTTGAAATAGAAACAGGTGTGCGACAGGGATGTCTTTTGTCGCCTCTCTTATTTTCACTGGCTATAGACTGGATTATAAAAACAGTAACTGCTAACACCAAGAATGGAATTCAATGGACCCCTACAAAACAGCTTGATGATCTGGACTTCGCTGATGATATTGCTCTTCTGTTCCATTCACGGAATCAGATGCAAGATAAATTAAATATACTTGATGCGAGATCACGGCAGCTTGATCGGGAAATCCATAAAGGAAAGACAAAGATAATGAGAATAAATCAGTCAAATAGTAATGTGGTTTCTCTTAATGGCACCCCACTCCAAGACGGGGAGTCGTACACCTATTTGGGCAGTAATGTAGATAAAGGTGGAGGAACTGACAGAGAGATTAAAATAAGAATACAAAAGGCAAGATGAACTTTCATAGCACTAGGGAATTTGTGGAGGTCAAAAGAAATTAAAAGAAATACTAAACTAAAAATTGTTAATTCTAATGTCAAATCAGTACTTTTGTATGGGGCGGAAACATGGAAAACAACTAAGACAATTACTAATAAATTACAGACATTCATTAACTGGAGCCTGCGCAGAATAGATGGAATAAAATGGTATGATATAATAACTTATGTAGAACTTTGGGAGAGAACTAAACAGGCTCCATTGGACCAAGAGGTGAGGAAAAGACGCTGCCGTTGGATAGGATACACCCTGAGAGAACAGAACAGCATAACTAGAATGTCAGGGGCATAGGAATAAAGGAAGGCCAAAAAACACATGGAGAAGAGAGCTGGAGAATGAAGTTAAAAAGATGGGAAGGACATGGGGAGAGCTCCATGCAATGGCGAAGGATAGAACGACTTGGCGTGAGTTGGTTGAGGGCCTATGCTCCATTGGAGGATAGAAAGGCAGAAGAAGACTTTTGAAGCATATTTGTATCTGAGACAAACAGAATATAAAACTTAACAGTTGAAGGACATTTGTATCTGAGACAAACATAATGCAAGACTTACTGTTGAAGGATAGTTATATCTGAGACAAACATAATTTAAGACTTACTGTTGAAGGAAAGTTTTATCTGAGACAAACATAATACAAGACTTACTGTTGAAGGATAGTTTTATCTGAGACAAACATAATACAAGACTTACTGTTGAAGTATAGTTTTATCTGAGACAAACATAATTTAAGACTTACTGTTGAAGGATAGTTTTATCTGAGACAAACATAATACAAGACTTACTGTTGAAGGATAGTTTTATCTGAGACAAACATAATTTAAGACTTACTGTTGAAGGATAGTTAATGTTTGTCCGGATGGCTCTGTTATTGACTGGCATGGTCGGCCGCACGTTTCCCTCCATCATTGTCATGCGGTTGTCTATCTGTTTGTTCTGTAAGTTCCTTAAAGTTTCTATCTTTCAAATACAGAAAAGATAATGTTGGCTGTGAATGTGAATCAGTATAAAAACATCTAGAACACAGAGTCACATAAGGCTCATTTAGGCATCCCGGTGATATGCTATGGACCCATATTATTTCTGACAGTAGAATTATTACACTGATCGTCATATTTTTACTACATATGTAAATATGTATGTGTTTGTATGCTGTCTGCATGAGGTCTGTGAGAAAGTTTGTGTTTGCCTGTATACCGGTCTGTTTGTTGATCTTATCTATATTACGGTCACTTTGTGTGTGATGTTTGTATGAGGTCTGTGTGCTGTCTCAGTATCGCTCTGTTTGTGCGTTGTATGTATGAGGTATATGTTATGTGCTGTCTGTATGAGGTCTGTTTGTGTGCTGTCTGTAATACTGCCTGTTTGTCTGCTTTCTGTACAACTGTCTGTCTGTGTGTTGTCTGTAAAAATGTCTGTGTGCTGTCTGTATGTGTGTCTGTCTGTACGATGGTCTGTTTGTGTGTTTGCTTGTACCTAACTATTTTGGAACCCATATGAATTAAATATGGACGGTGCTTGGGAAATGCACACACAGACAGCGTTCTTTCAGAGCTAAATGATTTAACAAAGGGCTGAAGTCAATGGACTAGAGAGTCCACATGCAGTTAAAAAAAAATAGAGCTTCATATAAGAAGATAACTAATACGTGGTAGGACTACTTACTTGTGTCTGATCGATATAAATAGGTTTGTTAAACAAAACCCAGGTGACCGTCTCTTGACATCCGGGTTGGGTGAACGAACCCTCGTATGTGACGTAATAATTGGTGTCTGGAAGTAGGCTTTTGATCCGGAAATCTTTTATGTGAGTGCCTTGTCCTGTATGAGAGAAGCATGTCTAATCTACACAGGTCTGCCTCCCAAACTCGGCGCATAATTCTTTAACTAACACACAGAAAGAGGTTGAGTCTGTTTGTGTGTTCTTGCATGAGTGCTTGCATATGTATCACTACGTGTCGTGCCGATCAGCGCTGGTTTGCACTATCATATATTTGCCCTATTGTTAATACAGCCAATAGGTTCATTCCGATATATTATCGGTCGACCTCTTCCTCTAGCCCTCTGGATCTCTACAGTTGCAACAACTTTTCCCCATGACTTTTTACCCTATAATACGAACAAAATGTGACTTTCTTGTCTTCTCCTCCTCTTTCTTCTTCTTTTCTTTTCATTTCGCGTTCACCACCTGTAAACACAGGCGGAGAGTTCTAGTTGTTCGTCCACATTGCACTTTGATCTTGATCTATCCTGAACTTGAGTTTTGAGGGCACATCAGTTTGAGTCGATCTCCTGTATTGCTTGGATATTGTTCTTATTTTGCCCATAGGATTCCTAATGATCACTAAACCATTTCTGCACCCAGAGGTATACATACAGACGAGTATACGCATGTGTGTAGGATGAGAGAGGGTAGACGTGCCTTAGTGTGTGGGCATGCTAGTTTACTATCTGTACAGTACCCCCATCGGCCCAATATTTGTCTGTCCGTCAACCTGTCTGTCTGTCTGTCTGTCTGTCTGTCTGTCTGTCTCTCTGCCTATCTATATGTTTGTTTGTCTATTTATGTATCTCTATCTGTCTGTCTTTCTCCTCTCTCTCTCTCTCTCTCTCTCTCTCTCTCTCTCTATATATATATATATATATATATATATATATGTGTGTGTGTGTGTGTGTGTGTGTGTCTATATATGTGCCTGTCTGCTATCTATATATAGGCCTGTCTGTCTGTCTAAAATATATCTGTCTATCTATATATATAAGCCTGGCTGACTATCTATATATCTGCCGATATATATATATATATATATATATATATATATATATATATATATATATATATATGCCTCTTGTCTATGTATCTGTCTGACTATATATCTGCCGCTCTTTCTATCTATATATCTGTCTGTTTATATATGTGCCAGCCTGTCTATCTATATATCTGCCAGTCTGTCTATCAATATATCTGCCTGTCTGTCTACTATATATATATCCGAATGTCTGTCTGTATAACTTTATGTCTGCCTATCTATATATCCGCCAGTCTATCCATCTTTATATCTGTGTGTCTGTCTATATATCTGCCTACCCGTCTGTATGTCTATTGATCTATCCATATATTTGTCTATATATCTAACCATGTGTACGTTTGTTGTCTTTATGTGTCAACATGTCAGTATGCCTTTCTACGTTTGTATAAATCTGTTTGCTTCACACTAACCACACAGTTAGTTTTCTCCACACTAACCCTATCATCGTCCCATATTCCTACCATCTTCCCCCTATCTTCCCTATCATCGTCCCATATTCCTACCATCTTCCCCCATCTCTCCCCAGTCTTTAATCACAGGAGTTCGTACTTCATTACTTTGATCAGCTCTCAATCTGACCACGGGGCATTAACTGCCATGTATTACCGGCCTGCCGAGGAGGTAATCTATTTCCTCTATCCTCTTACGGGAAATCAATCAGGAAAACAATTCCCTCACCTTGCCAGGGAACTTGCGTGGCCATATCGACCAAAAACTTGAAGGCGCTGTTTGTTATCCCGAAATCCTCAGCAATCTGTTTGACCGTAAAATAAACAACATACACATAAATAACAGAAGCAATCAGGTCTTTTTAACAATAGATCTTGGAATCCAAACACATCAAGAAGGTTTTCGCAGAGTTTGATTTCCTAAACGTCGTCAAGAGGTAGAGAGAAGTTTACATTAATTCTGTCATCGATTCACTATCAGCTAGCTTCAACCTCAGCTCTGTGGAAGCAAGTCTTCCACAATTAACATTATTTTTTTGTAACCCTCTACCAGACAGTATTTGATTTACATCTGCCTAAGCCTTCCACAATTAACATCATCAGACAGTATTTATTTTATGTCTGCGTAAGTCTTCCACAATCAAAATAGTTTCCTCTACCTTTCACCTGACAGTATTTGTTTTAAGTCTTCGTAAGCTTTCCACAATTAACATAATTTTTTATGCCACCGGACAGTATTTATTAAACTCTATCTAAGTCTTCCACGGTTACCATTAATTTTGGTACTCCACCGGACAGTATTTATTTTGGTTCTGTCTAAGTCTTTGACAATTAACAGTGGCTTGTATCCTCCACCAGGCAGTACTTATTTTAGCTTTGCATAGTCTTTCACAATTAAAATTAATTTGTATCCCCCACCAGACAGTATTCATTTTACATTGAGTGTATCGCCAGCAATTGGTAATTAAAGCAAAAGAAACAAAGAATTAAAGGTGACAGAAATTCCACACTAAACGATGCCAATCTGAAAAAAAAAGTATTTCCTTATCAAATGGGAGGTTGTGGGGGACTGAGAGAAAAGGAAAAAAAAAAGGGAGACAAAGAATCATGAAAAGAATCTTCTACATGTACTTATCGCTTTATTATAACTAGACCTAATAGCTTTTACGTGCCATATCTAAGAATAATAATTGGTATTAGTGGCAAGACAAAATTACACACTGATTTAAAAAAAAAAAAATATCACAACAGTTTTCTCAATGCTAACTTTCCGAAAGCTCATGTGACTAGGTCACACTAACAAAATGAAGGATGGCAGAGATATGTAAAAGATCTTTCCTTTACCTTCCACCAGAAAGTATTTGTTTTAAGTCTGCGTAAGCTGATCAGCATCTGATTTCTCTTCATGTGCAAGAGGTGGAGTTATACGCCCATGGTAGAGATAGGTAAAAGATGTCGAAGTCAGCCTCTATTACGTTATAAAGAGGTGTGCAGGCGGAACATGAATGATACCGGTACTGAGGTAAATTCGTTTAAAAAAAGGGAGGGGGGGGGGGTTAGGGAAATGCCATACACAGTGTTTCTTGAAAGAAGAAAATCAGAAGGGGAATGGAAAGAACTGCAAAATTTATTGGCAACAGGTTGAGAGCTGAGCGAATGAGGAAAAGCAGACTAAAAAATTTAATGGTAACAACGGTCCTGAAATCCCGTGCTCTGATTGGGAAAGACTTCTTCAGATGAGCGGGTCTTGTTAGTCACACTCGCCACCGAAATGGGCTGTGATTTCCATGCTTCTTCGTATCACAATATAACTATCACCTGGAAAGACGGAAAGATGCCTACAGGTTGCTAGACTGTATTTGCACTGTTTAAAAGTAATTAAAGTAAAGATCCATTTTTTACGCCCTTGGGGACATTGGGCAAATGGGAAGAGCATCCCATATTTTTAAAGGCCAATCAGCACTAAGTGGGTAATGTGATCTCCATTACGCCGGCCGTCTTTACTTCCCCAGGACAGCCATCCTGGTACGCATTTTAGGCTGGGCCGACCTGCGACGCCCCATACCATCACAAGGAACGCAGAAATACAAAAACATCCCAATTTTGATACTTACAAATAATCGTGCTCTTGGCGCTTCCCCTTGCAGTACTTTGTAAACAGGCGCCTGTGGCGCCTCAAAGAGACCCATGACAACACAACCTCCCATAAACATTATATACGCCCATCAAACGCTGAATAAAACCATCTCATAACACCCCTACAACACAGGGGTTCCTTTGAATGGGAAAGAAAGGAACTCTTGCGGGCAAGTTGGTGATAAGTTTCCTGATAGGGATATTAAAATGCGAATACAACAGACTAATGGAGTTTTTATAGCACAGGGAAATGTGTGATATTCAAAGAAAATTAAAACTAATATTGAACTTAAAATTGATAATTCTTTTGTTAAATCAATACTGCTGTATTCATCGGAAACGTGGAGGACAACTTAAACGATTAGTGATTAACTACAATCATTTATTCACCAGAGCTGCGTAAAATAGAAGGAATTAAACAGTATGATAGAATCACTAATGCTGAGCTTTAGTAGAGAACTAAACACATGTCAGTGAATCAAGAGGTGAAGAAGACGCTGGCTTTGGATAGGACACGTGTTTTTAAAAAAAAAAACCACGAGAACAATATGTAACTGGAATGTATCTTTACTGCAATCAACGTGGAAACAAAAACAGGCAAACCAAAAACATACATGAAGAAGGAAGCTAGAGCGTGAAGTTAAAAAAAAAATAGGAAGGACATGATGTGAGCTGCATAAAAGTAGGACAACTTGTCGTGAGTTGGTTGAGGACCTAGACTCCAGTGGGGGGAGGATAAAAGGGTGGGGGTGGTGGCAGGAGGGAGGGTAAGAGAGACATATGCAACTGATTAAACTATTTCAGAATGAAACTGACTGTAGCAATGCAGAGGTTAACAGTATCACGAACCTATGCCAACATAGCAGAGTTTAAAAAGAAAGAAACATTCTGAGACTACGCATATGCCATTTGACAATATTTGGAACCTTCTGTTTGTTTTAAAGGCAATTACCCAAGTGTGAATTTAAAAAAAAGGAAAACAATTACAATTTTCACGATCTGAACATCGAAATAACCTGCTCATAAACGGCATGATATTCCTCCCCCCCCCCCACCCCCCCTCCTTGAGGGCAGTTAATATGAACTTCACACTACACTGACCCGAGGAAGATGTCAAGCTAGTTGGACCAGATCTCGCCTACTCGGTGAATCAGGTTATATTTCTAAAGAAAAGCTTGTGCGAGCATCAACAGAATTGGCTGTGGCGAAAGGAAAAATACATTAGCCGCATTAAATGCTGCAGTAGTGTAGAGGGAATCTGGAGATCATGCAGCATCTTTTGGTGGCAACTTATGGATGTGAATCATGGACTCTGACTCAGTCTTTGAAGAAGAATATCCAACCTTTAGAACTGAAATGCTACAGGAAGATTTTTAGAATACAGTAGACTAAGAAGAAGAAAAAATGACGACATCCTACATAACCTGAACATCAGGGAGAACTGGCTCATAAACAGGATCCTCAGCCAACAGCTGAGATTATTTGGACATGTCAAGCACCAAGGTGGTCTGGAGATAACGGTAATAGAAGGTGCAGTTTCCGGAAAACGAGGCAGAGGTTGACCTCCGCGAACGGGATACCGGACACTGAAGATGCATTGGCTATGAAAGCACATAGGGCTGGCGAATTTGCTAGAGAAAGATAGATTTTCAGGTGACGTTTTGTAAAGGACGTGTTGAATTATTAACTCTTTGAGTCCCAGGGCGTTTAGCATTACAGGCCCAGGGGGTAGTGAAGAAAGTAAATAAAATCGGCGCATCATGCGTTCATTGGGCTTCTAGGTAAGAACCTATGAACGTATGATGCGTTCCTTAGGACTCAAAGAAATAATTGATGTATTTATTTATTTATTGATTTTTAGGGACACCACTGTGGAAAGTACGGCTCATGGAGGAGGAGGAGCAATGGAAGACCAGCATGAGGATGGACTCTGGACAATGAAAACCATTTATAGCAGTGAAAATACGTGAGGTAGATGAACTGACAAAGGACCTCGGTATTTTCTCCCTAGCCTGTAGTCCATTGTGAATGGGTCTTTATGAAAGCCTAGTTTCCTACCAGCAGACAGTGATGGGATGGATATTGTGCAAATGCTCAGTGACAAGATGTTGAATTATGAACACAGAATATGCCACCTTCTTCTCCATGAAGACAGTCTTAATTATGAAGACTGCACATCCCACCCTCTTCTCCTTCATGAAGATGCAATCTTCCTTCTATGTATTTTTGTAGCCATGGCTGCGTGGTTAAATTATTTGTGGACTATTTTTGCTTCGGCCTATTTGCAGTTTCACCAGTAAGTGACTTAAGATTTTATTTGTTCCACAAACTTTCCTAAAATACACAGACTTGTGGAACACCAACGTTGGGAAAATTGTGAACACAACATAATCACCGGTTATTAGCACAAATAAAAACTGCCAGTCATCGTGGTCTTCACAAGACTACCCGGCACAGTGTGCCAACTCAAACTGTACGCCGTCGGTCGATACAACAAACTGTGCACTACTGCAAAGTCCAACAATCGCTTGAACAACTGCTTTCTGTCTGAGATTGATCAACCAACACTTGTTTTCCAACTGTCCTGATTAGAAATACTCGTACGTCATCATTCTCAGTACTTGCCAGTTGATTGCTTGGCTTTGTCGAGAAAATCGCGCAGCTCTCTAAAATCTCTTCCCACTTGTTGTCTTGTCTTGCAGCATTCATGGACAGAAGCAGGCTTGTTTGTTCTTGCTCTAATTGTCGGTGCAGTTGACACACACAAATCTGGGCAACCTTAAGGCATTTTTTATAGTTATTTATGTTTTTTATATTTAACAAAAAATATCTACTAGTACACTGCTTTAAAGACATAGCATACAGATATTAAATAAAAAGTATATGAAATTTTAATGTTCACCAGTTTTTAAAAAAAATCTACACAATTTTACTTGAACAAACAAAAAAGTTCTTAATGATTTTAATTAAGGTAAATAATTCTCAGAATTTTAATTCAACCAAAAAAAAAAAAAAAAGTAATATAAAAAATGCTTTAAAATCCAAGCCGGAAATCTGAAAGAACCGGAATATCGATTCATATTTTTTAATGTCAACCTGCAGTCTCAATGAGGACAACGAGAGAATAATTAGGAAAGAAATACAAACAAATAAGAGTCGGGCAGATAAT